GGACACCATCTGTAAGTGCATCTGTGCTTAGTTTCCACTTTCGTGACTTGTTGGTACTCATTTGACTTTGACCTTAAATTATTGCAGTTTCACCCTGCACCCATCTTTTTTGCTATGGATTCGGTTTTAATAAAGTTTTGAACATCCGTCAGTTGGCTCAGATTGCAAAAAGCTCACAACCTGGAATGGCCTTATGAATGCGACAAATAAGCTTGTAGGGTTTATTTTCTGGATGTAACATGTGTGGTTTCTGTTGTTTTTATGGAAGGCTGGTCCATAGCTAACTTGGATTGCGTACGTAATCTAGGGGAAAATGACGTAGAAGCATGGAACTTGCAGATAATTCCACATGCTCATTTTGCGGTTTACCACATCCGATTCTGATGCAACTTGGATTCACGGCGTAATCTAGGGGAAAATGACGTAGAAGCATGGAACTTGCAGATAATTCCACATGCTCATTTTGCGGTTTACCACATCCGACAAATTCTGATGCGCCGTCTCTGAAGATGTGCCTTGCTGATGCAATCAGTTTTAGAGCTTCCAAATGTCTATCCTTCCAAGCTGCTTTCGTGGTTTGAAAGCAAAAAATAGTCAGACAAATAAATTGGTAACACAGTATGAAAACAAGGCCATCAAACTTCAGCTTCATCAGGACATTCGTGTTGCAGCATTATCTTAGAGAAAGGCAGCCCTGTTGTGCAACTTCCCTCTGCGTTTTTTTCAGTGCCTAGTTTAATTAATCCATCAAATAATAATAATACTTTGCGGTAACACGTTGATCCTTTGAAACAATGGAGGGTCCCAAGCTTGGATTTATTGATTGGTTTACATTGACCTCGTGCTCGCCTTCGAGGCTGTTTTAATCAGTTATCATCTCAATTTAGCCGCAAACTTTGGCCTCAAACTGTGTAGTCTTGATTTAGCCTTGTATATACCTTCAGTACACAAAGACATGTAAAAGATTCAAAATGTTCCTCTTGGGATACCCAAATGACCACTAGCCATGGCGATGACTCTGGCACAGTTTGCCCATACCTTCGTGCACTGCAACCGAGAGATCTGGTCCTCCATCTGACTCCTTCATAAATCCATTTCCGAGTCCGTAGGGTTGATTTTGTGAGTGGCACAAAGTCAGAAAAACGTATTGTTACGATTTGAGGGTGTCTGAATAGTTTTGGTGTCCAAGTTGATCAGAAGTACTTTCTAATCAGTTCGCCGTAGGCTTCAACTTAGAGAAAAGAAAACTCCACTCGTGCACCTTCTATCCGCTGGCCCAGTATGCTCGGTTGTTTTGGGCAACGATGTAGTTTGAACTGCATCAACCGTTGTGATGGTGCCAGCATCTCATCTGTCTGGCTTTGACTTACTGCGCACCTCAGGAAGCATAGGAGGCAAGCGGGGATCTCAGCAATGACGCATCACAGCCAGTGTAACAAAAAACAGAGACACATTCCAATCACGCGTGGGGGTAAAAAGAGCTAACGCACACCGACAAACCGACGCCTGACTCACAGTTGATCTCCGGGCACATCAATCACTGGGCCCCATCGCGGATCAAAATGATGCTTGCTGCACTAGCCTCCATCAGCATCATCATCAT